TTAAAATACTATAGATGCTTCTAGAACAAAAATAAATGTTTATATATAATATATTCAAGGAGGAAACAAATTATAGTGCAATAGAATTTAGGTAATATTTTGAGCAATTCCTGCTAACCATTGGCAGTCTAGTCAAAAAGATCTCTTACAGAGTAGTAATAAAAGCTGTAAATCATGCATTCGCACACAGAAAATGCTATCATCATGGTTCATCACCCTAGCTACCTTTAAGAATTCCTGGAGTCCACTTAGCCCTTCAGTCTGTTTGGAAACCACAGTAGTAACTGACAAGTTACTTAGTGTCTAGTTACAGCAAACATGGCACTAATGTCATTTAACAAAAGACAACAGACTAGTGAAAAAAACGCTGTTTTAGAAAAAGAAAAATCCAGTTCCCAGTGCAGCCTTTGCACTAAGAAAGAGATCCTAAGGAAGTCACAATCGCTATAGGACTTTGCATTTCTCATCTTAAAACGAGAGAGAACTTGAACAGGGAACCTGTTACAAAACCTGGAGAAACAATGTTGTAAAAAGGAAAGTCATCTCTTTCAAATAAAAAAGCCGTCATTTTCAAGGAAGTATCATGTATATTTTTAGTATCTTTTCTTTTTCATTCACTAGAAAAATATTCGTGCATGTGAATGGCTTAGAAAAGATTATTAAAGTAAGGCTAAAATTTCTATTATCTGTTATGAAAACACCAAACAAAACCTATAGCAAAAAGCTAGCTGAGCTTCTAACAAAATACTGGGATTTTAAAAGTCAGAGCTCAATGAAGAAATGAGTGAGTTTATTCTAAGATAATAGAGTTAGGCAGCATTCTTTTTTTGCCTTCCATATCCATGACAATAACCAGGTCCTCGCTAGCTGACAAAACCAGTCTTGGCGAGGAGTTAAATAAAATTACAGAAGAAAGGGGTACCATTACTTTTTAGGGCTAAAGATAAAGCAAGCACTAAGTCCTGCTGTCTTTCTAGGGGAAGCTGTATGGAAATGGGAAATGAATCAGCAGAGTAAGAAACATTCTGCAGTTTCTTAATAAATGTTACAGCTTGATAAACCTTACCACGTATTTAAAGAAAGGACCTATTTTATACACAGACAACAGAAAGTTTTTGAACTAAATTACAGCAATGCTCCATTACCCTCATCCAATTGTCAAAATTCTGAAACGTGTATTTCAAGGTTCTTTCCACTGTAAAGGTTAAAGGGATCACTTTAGAGAGATTTCTTACTTCACAGTTAAGCACATGGTATCTTCTAATAAAATGCACAGGCAAGAATACTACTACCTTCAGATAAGAGCCAGGGTAGGCATCCATAAACCCTTGAAAAGGTATGAACAATTTTGTGCATATGAATATTTTGGTGAAGGCAGAGATCATAATTTTTATTGGATTCTCAAAGGTGTCTGTGTCCTAAAAAGTTTCAAGGATCACTCTGCAAAGCACCACCACATGCTTCATTTAATTTCATGTCACAATTTGAATATTCTAATAAAGGTCTTTTTTATAGTTTATAGCATGCATTCTCAAGTGAGGTGATATTCGTCCCCATGAGGGCAAAAATTGGTTCTTGAGGTGTGAAAAAAATCTTCGATACCATAATAGTTTTGGGTCCTTACAGTACTTGTACCTTATAGTATCGAGTATATCTGTGATAGTAAAAGTTCATGTGAGGGGAGTGAAAAAGAAAAAATATTTCTAAAGAGGCTCCTTAGAGGAGCAACTGAAAAAAAAAAGGCCGAGAAACACTGGTTTACACTAAAAAAGCAGAGCAATAATTACATGGGTGAGTACTAGTGCAGGGTACATTCAAGACAGGAGCAGAGCATATTTCTTTGCCCCTCACACAGCAAAAATGCTCCACGTGAAATGGACTCTGAAAACAAGCTAATGAACAAACAAGTGCATGTGCCTATGATACGTCCATTGCGATATTTCTATTTTATCTACATTACTATTCCCATGACACTTATAAGACATATTTAATACCCACAGCAAAGTTATGCAATAGTTGAAAATCTCAACTTTTAACAATTAAAATACTCACTTTCTTCCTGCATCCGGGCTAGAATCTGCACATCAGTTACATCATTTAGCTTATAATTGGATCCAATTGAATCTTCATCTAATTCTGAAGCACTTAACTCACTATCTATAGACGACTGAGGACTGAGCGGAGGATTTCTGTCTGATGAGCTTTTCAAGTTACCTTAAAAAAAAAGAAATTTTTTAGTGAGACCAATATTGAATAAATGCCTGTTGCAAATTAACTTCATATTATTAATATATCCTCTGATTCAATTCATTACTATTCTGCCTCTTCTGTTTACAAAAATTCCCTGAAATTAAGAAAAATGAGAACTATAGAGACTCCTTTTTTATATACTACGGCATAAATACAAAACATATTTTCATTCAAGTGTAACTTCTCTGTTCTCTTATGGAATAGTTAAGTTTTCAGCACAGTTCCTGCCAAGTAGCTGGTGTTCAATAACTATATGTTAGAGAGGATTTCAACTTGTACAAGATAGCTAATTAAACTGCTCTATAAATAGATGAATTTATGAAGTAGTGTTTTCCTCTCCCAAATTCATAGTCATTAACAAACACCATCATCTCTTCCCCGAATAAGAACAAGAAAACTACAATTTGAAGAAAATTAGATTCCTTAGAGATTTAGGAACAAACCAGAAAAAGAACACTATTTCTCCTACATCACGCCATGTTTACAAAATTCCTTTGTCAAATTAGTAATAGGGATCCAAGGAGTTCTCTGAAGTTTAGTAGTGAAGCACGCGAAATAGGATGAAAAAAAATGGCTAGATTTTTAAAAAGTACTTTATCATTCTAAACCAAAAGGGGGACAGAAAACAGGCCAGAGGAATAAATATACACGTCCAAGAGTCTAATGTGTTTCTAAGGAAATGCTTTCATCAGATCATCGATTTGTACTGAAGAATAATAAAATCCCAACACTGTCACTAATATTTCTAATACAAATTTCTTTGAAACACTTGTTTTCCAGAATTCTTCACCGTAATAGTCAGCTTCAACATGAAAGGCATGTAAGGAGAGCAAGAAGAATACAAAATAATTAATCTTTATATTATTACTGAAAGAAGAGAATAGTGTACATAATAGGAAAAGTACTACAAGGTCAGGCTTAAATAATGCCCGAATCAAATTCTTTAAACAAATATTATAGATTTAACTTTTTAATGTGATATTGTTATAGGTGAAATAAGCAGCAAATAACAACCTATATACTAAGAAAAGAGCAGAGTCAATAAACTGCCTCTTGAGAGCTACACTAATGAGAAGGGAAAAATGAAACTTAATAACTGAGAAAAAGTTAACATTTCAAAGGTCTTCCTATTAGAAAATTCAATGTAATTATCTCAATTTAAATTAAAAAAAAATCTTATAGTAGTGGAGAAAAACATATTAATAACCCCAAAAATGTTTTCATTATTTTAAATTGTGTATGTAAAATTTGAGGTGATTAAAAATATCTTAATTTTTTTTTTGAAACAGGGTTCCGAAAGTAACAATATCTTAATTTTTAAAGGCATTATAATAATTAGTCATAACCATAGCAGCGGTAAGAGTAACTGAATAGGGGAATGCCAGGGAAGAGTAAGCCGCACAGTCGCAGTCCCAGTCACAGAACCAGAGAACACACTTTCCCTGGTTCGCAGCAACCTTTCCCTCCCACATCACTTACAGCCCCTTTCGCTCTCTTGGCACATTCACATATAACCTCATACTGTTATGTGACTGCATATCACAGCTTATTAAAATTCCTATAAAGAACTTTTAACTCTGTAGCTTTTGCAACCCCAGCAAGCTGTTCAATAAGGATCTACTGATTAAAAGAATCAAGCTTGTGATTCCATTTAAGCCAGATCAAAAAACTTCTAAGTACATGCTAAAGAAAATTTTATAAATGCAACAACTGGCTTATCTTTGTACCCCTGGTGTTTAGTACAGTACTTGGTGCAAAGTAGCTCTTCAATATTTTCTCTAACAAGTTAAAAGTTTCATAAATTAAATGAACTTGAACAGTTGATGAATAAGTTATCTTTTGAGGTAGTACAGTAGCTTAAAAATCATTCCTTAATAACTTCATTTTGTTTTCTCCTTACCTGAATTTCCAGGAAGTATAAGCTGTTTGACTATAGGAGGTCGTACTGGGGTTGAGGATGGAGAATTGAAGCCACTGCTGTAGGGACTACTGGCGTTTGGACTGTAAGGACTTGTGTAACTCACAGAGTTGAAAGGATTATTATATAAAGTCTGCCTCTTGAGAGCTGCATTAATGAGAAGAAGGGGAAAATCAAACTTAATAACTGAGAAAAAGTTAACATTTCAAAAGTCTTCCTATTAGAAAATTCAATGTAATTATCTCAATTTAAATTAAAAAAAAATTCTTATATAGTGAGAAAAACATATTACTAACCCCCAAAAATGTTTTCATTATTTTAAATTGCATGTGCAAATAAAACAGAAGCCACACTAAACAACAAAATTAATACAGAATGAATATCTCCTAAACAGATTAGCCACTTAATTCACTTCCATCTTCTTGGAAAGTGTATTCTTCAATACCTGCTGT